TAATCTTTAATCCAGATGGTTTCTTGATTCTAGAGTAAAGCCTGTCATTAACTCACCCTTTCAGAGAATGGGCAGATTTCTTGCAGGCTGGGACAATTGCATACAGTGAAAGTGGCCGAGGTTCAAGCCTGTGTTTCAAACTGGGCAGAGCAGGGACTTGAAACTTGTATCCAAAGTAAGAGTCCTTAATCTGGATGTCTCAGTGTGCAGAAGAGGGACACTGCCAACCTAATGTTGACACTTACATTTATATGATGACACTTTATATGACAACACAGGAAAACACTTTGAACTGTTGTATTTTTTCAGTTTTCCAGGTATGGTAAAAAACACTGGCATGTAACTGATGTGGTGTGTTTTGTTGTGGTTTTTTTTTTTTTTTTAAAAGAGGGAATGTCTGAAAGTCAGAATTTCAGACTGATATAGTTAATACTTATGTTCTTTTGCCAGGTTCTACTCATATTTTGACACCTAAAAGACTACTGGATGAAGTAAAGAGCCTTAGTAAACCGAAGGATATGGTCTGCATTAAGGATGAATAGAAATGGTGATGTTTATGATGCATTAGGAAAAGACAAGTAGTATGTACATATTCTTATGGAATTGACTTCTCTAACTACTGTACCAGGACACTACATGGTTCTGACTAATGGAATGTAATTTTATAATTTAAATTTGCTGCTTTTTTGGGGAGTAGAAGGCAGAGAGAGTAAAAAATCAACACGCGTGTTTCTTAGGTTGTATTTAATATAGACAGTGTAACACTGCAAGTGCTTTTTCAAAAGGGCATGTTCATTCCTAACAAATTGTGCTAAAAGTTATCATGATTATATATAAACTGGAATTGTTTTTCAGAACTGTGAAAGCTTTCTATAATAGAGTTTTTCTAAAAATGACTGAATTAAAAAGGGTCTAGGTTCTTAGGTAGAGGCTTCAGAAGAAAATTTGTAAATATGAGTTTATGGTAAAAATATTTCACACAAGTGCAATGTCTCAAACTGTAATATTTTCTGTAAAATAACTCACTGAAAAATCTTTAAATATATGTAATTGTGAAAAATCAAAAGGTGGTGGGTTTTTTTAGATGGTGGTGGGTAAAATAGAAAGTTAATCATGGAAGTACTAAGCAGTTCTAATTTCAATAAATAACTTTGGAGAAATGCTGTCAACTGTGCACTGAAGTACACTTTATATTTAAGTATGTACAGGGATTATTACTAAAGCTTTTAAAAAAAAAATTAATTTCTTGCAAACTTCCTTATGATTGTGTCTATGTAGTCCATCTGTTCTATATCACAGGCAATTCAACTTAAAGTTCCAAAATTTTAAGTGTAAATTCTCTTCTTGGGGGAAAAGGAGAGGAAAAGAAGGAAAGCAGTTGAATCTTTCAACTAAATTACTTAAATGGCTTGGTAATATAAAAAAGAAAAGCGAAAAGCAAACCAAATGCCCAAACCTGATGTATTCAAGAGAATTTATGGTTTTCTTCTACTTAGTTACATATTAGGAAATACATACATTTGTGTTGAAGGGGATCAAATAAATTCTAAATTGTATTGATTCTGTAATACTGGTAATGTTTAGATTTGTCTTAGAAAATTATTTAAGTGTAAACTTACTAACTTTTTAAAGGGATGTTGTATTGATGTGCCTTGAAATGTTAGTTTGTATGCAGAATCTGAGAGAAATGTCATAATGAAAAAGAATAGATTACTCATGGCTTTTTATTTACATTTTTCCCAACTGTAAAGGTATTCATTTTTTGTTCTGCAGAAAGGTGGTTTTATTTCTTTTCCCTTAATTGTGCTCTCAGGTTAACTAGTAGGTTAAGAGAACATCTTTGTTACGTAGGTTCATTCAAAGTTAATTAGAAGGTGGAAAAAGGTTAAATTCCCCCCTTACATCAGAGAGGAATGAAATGGGAGAACATTACATAACAATTCTAAAATGCTGCAGTACATGGGGCATGATGAGGATAAGGGGCTGTAGCTTTCAAATGCACCTACATGAATTAGGCATCTAACTTACACTGACTTTATTTTCAGTAGTAATACAGGAACAACACCTTTCTTAATTTAACTGGTTCATCAAACATCATGTGCATCAAAACTTAAAAAAAAAATTTTAATAGAAATATCTATATAACCTTTTTCTGAATTCTAGTTTCTAACTAAAACATCTCAATAAAAATCCAGAGTAAAAGTATGTATTTAAGAAATGCAGTGTTCAACATTTTCTTACTAAAGATGCACACTTTGAAATCAGTATTAAACAATTATGCTTAAATTACATATAGTCCTTTCACTTTGGCAAGAAGGACCCAAGTTCAGTGTAAAGCTATATGTAGTTGCAAATTTTTTCCTATTCCCAAAGCTTACAAGCAATAAATACAGAACAAAATAACTGATATCAAAGTGTCCTACTTAAGGACTGAAATAAATTATGTCAATAGTATATATAATCCATTGTATTGATATTTATTTGTTGCATAGAGTTGAAGAAATACTATCTTGAAATGTTGGATTACTTTTGCATATTCAGCAGTTAGACTTTCTCCAAGTGTCTGCTTTAGGCTTAAGTGCTATCACTTAAAGCTCAAAATTTGATAGCTGATAAATACAAGGCTAAGACTTTTGAGTTTTGGAATCCATAACCCACTTTTTCCAGAAGGTAAAGCCAAACATTACTGTAAAGGTGGATTAATAGAGATGCTTTAAGATAAGAAATCTGACAGCAGTATGTAGGCCAAACCAGCTCCTGTTTTTTTTACAGGAGCTTGTGGAGGAGGGGAAAAAAACCCAACCATTCTTGTAAAGATGTTTATTTTTTTCCCAAGTATTTTCCTGGCTACTTTTTTTTCCTAGATCAAGAATTGTTTTATCAAGATCAAGAATGGGAAAGATTTGCATCAAGATAAGTCTGCCCCCAAAACCTAGTATTTCAGAGTACGCATACAAGGTATATTATGATTTTGAAAGTTCCTGTTTTCATATTATACATCTTAAAACAGATACCTAGCCTGTACATGTGGGCCCAGATTCACATAAGCACAGGTGTTGGTCTGATTACCCTAGATAATAAAGATACATATATTCAAGTGCAATTTATTTCTTAAGTTGAATCTGGACAAGATTCAGAGATGACTAAGAGGAAAATCAGAGGTATGGAAAAATTTTGATGTCAAGAATGGCTAGAATAGGATCCTTGATCAAGGGGAAAAAAGGTGATGGAGGAGTATGTGCTGGAAGCCTTGAAAAAATCATGTTAGTGTGCAGACTGAAGAGACAGACATGTTGCCTTTCTATTCAGTGTGTGAAGTAACACATGAAACTTGCAGTTGTCAAATTCAAAACAAAAGGACATCTAGCATCTGAGACATCGTGCAGTAATGACACGCTTTAAATTGTTATATGAGGGGAAAAAACTCAACATACAGGAGAGAAAAATCTTTATAGGGTTATTAAATGGAAAGATATTACTGCTGATTTGGAAGGACTCTGAGCTTTCAGTTTGCCAAAGAATGTTCTGAGGAAATGTCACTATGTGCTTGTCGTCTTAAATATGTTCTTTCGTAGGCATTTGCTGTGAGGCCTAGGACAGCAGGTTCAGACAGTGACCCAGGATAAACAAAAGGTTTAGCTGTTCTTGTGGTGTAGAAAGATTTCTGTGGAAGAGATTCATCTTTTTTGTTGGATCTAGGAAGCCTACAGCAATTACTTTAACTATTAAGTTAACTTGCAAAGTAATAACAGGGACATTGCAAACATTAATCTAGCACAGGGAGTGAGCCTTTCACTATCCTGTGCTGTTACCTTAAGCTAAATAAAGCAAAAACATGGATAATAAGCAGAGGCAAATCAAGTTATAAGGATATACACTAAGAGCCTAAGGGAGAAAAGAAAGGTTAATAGTATTGTTGGCTGTGAAGTGTGGAAGAAGCCCTGAAAAAAGGCATTGACTCAAGCTAGTAGATCAGTGGTACACGGCAGCAAGTTTAGCTATCACTGCTTGCGTGAACAGTCTGGATTATCTCTGTATCCATCAACTGATGAAACCACACAGATTTGCCTGAAAATGACTATCCTTTTTAAGCAACGCACTGTGACTTCCCACTTGAAGTGATGATTTCCATCAGTCCCCATATACTTTGGAATTGCTTCAGTGAATAGCATCCCTGATAATACAAGGCTGTTAACTGTCTCCTTGTTTTTAATCACTGCAGTTAAATGGATTTCAGAAGGAAAATAATAGATTACTTCTCTTGGCCCACTGTGTTTCTACAGTATTTTAAAATTTTCCAACCTACTTACCATCAGCTAAAATCTCAAAGCCAGATATATCTGACAAGGTAAGGACACCACATTGAAGAAACAGACAATTTAATTGTTAGGAAGACACAGACAACAAATAGTATTACTCAGTTACTGAGGCATGCAAGGAAGTATCTTAAAAACAAACAACTCTCAATGTAGGGCACTCTAAAAACAAAATAATTACATATGTTAACTATGACTTGGTATGTTAACATGATGCTTATAGATGTCTTGGGTGCAGAGGCTGTTTCCCTTTGTTGATGTGCTTAAGCAGCTGCTGTTAAGGTGTGGGAAGAAAATGAATGTAGTAATGACTCATATTTATTCTCCTATCTGGGGGTGGGGAGAAATCAAAAGTCAAAAAGTTAACCTTGCTTGTTTAAGCCACTTTTTATTAAGCTATCTTAAGGGAATGCTTAGAGAAGGTAGCTGTACACAGTAGCAGGGGTTAGCCAACATGCTAAAGACTTTCAGTAGAATTAGTAATTTGTTTTCCAGTTCTGAGACTGAGTGTAAACATGTGGAATACCAATATGCTGTGGTTTAGTTTAGTACTGATAGTTACAGAACAGCTGGCAAAGTCAGCTAGCTGACTTTCTGATCTTTGTATTTATCTTTTTATATTTGCAGAGATACTGACACTTCAGTATCGACCAGCAAAACAATATAGCATTTGAAACTAGGTAATTAAAGCTGTTTTCTTTTAACTTTAGCTAGATCTTCTGAAACTGCTCGCACCATTCGTTCTGTAGCTTTCTTCAAACTGTTTGCTATCTGTATGGCATGATCCAGAGTAGAACTTAAAATCTGTTGGGAATAAAATATAGCCTTGTTTATACTGAAGGCAAATATTTACATAGGTATAGAATAGAAAGTGATGTTTAATTAAGGTTCTATGTAGCATTTTCACACTGAATACATGTTGAGAAGTTAAAATTCTGAGTCATGTGATATACTGCTCCAGGATTCAAGTTGGAAGTATCTGTTATTTATTTCCCTCTTTAATTGTGTAATCCTTTGAACTGAGGGATATTTATACCTTTTTAAAGTAGCAGCCCTAGTGTGGTGCATGTTTGTTGTATTGAGAAAGTTTTCTTTTGGTTTTGATAGTGGTTTGTATGACTAGGGTGACATTCTTTGTTTCAGTATATGAAACATAATTCCAGACGTAAAATCAAGTACTCTTTCTCTGTCCCTTTCACCATTTATACAGGGACTAAGTTGCATAAAAAGTCTGTAACATACTCATATGAAGTAATATACTAATATATAAGCTAAAATACTTGGTTTTTTAACTCCCTCCTGTCTTATCCTCAAATGGACTAGACATACTTAGATTGTAATAATCAACTTGCTAATAATGGGGACGTTCAACAGTGCCACGATGTGGGAATGTACTCTCCCCAAGGTAGTTGTGTGGCTTTTAATTTTCACTCTAAAGTCTTACATTTGCATTGGAATCACTGGCATTTCTGTTTCTGATGTCGATTGCAGATCTGCTTCGGGCAGACTTCTTGCTGGGTAAGTATTGATGTGAAAGGGTAATTTTATCATGTGTGCTTGAATAGCAGGTTTTGGCAGCCTCAAAGTTTTGCCTAAAGATAAGATACATAGAATAAAACACAAACAATTTTAGTAAGCAAAATAATCTGTAAACTAGGAATTAAATGTATACACCTTGATAGCATACTCAGTTGCAAGTTAATTTTGAGTGAGTAGAATTTTTCATTTAATTGTAAAATGCAGCCCATCATAATTTGTGTTACATCTGTACTGCAGTAAGACAGAAAACATTCCAGGATGCAGAGTCAGGAAATCTCTCATAATAGCATCACATTCTTGGTGCTGTAACCTTCTCTCGCAGAGTGGTCTATGCCATTGATTCTCAAGTGCAGCTGCTGTACTTCCAGGCAATTACTGCCATTGAGTAATGCTGTCAAAAACTATGGTAACAAAACTTGTCTGAGGTTCAGTCTAGTCTGTGCTATAGTTAAGAATACATTTTATTTCAGACTCCCAGTATAAGGTAATGTTAACAACAGTTTAAAGTGGGACTGTTACTTATGAAGAAATAATTGGTAGCAAAGAGAATTGCATCTTCAGTAATACAAACCTGCTTTTCAATCTGTGAATGGGAACATCCTCTTAATGAAGTGAGATTTTTTTTTTAACCAAATGTGTCAGCTAAAGAAGTCAGATGTTGACTCTTCATTAAATTAGAAAGATTGAAGAACTACTTTAAGAATTATTTACACTTACTCTTAGAGTAAATATTTTCATTTCATTATTGAGTAAAATTCTAATATATCGCATGTACTGCAAAAGATAAAACATTCTTCCTGCTTATGATACTGGTGAGGGTTTTTTCCATGCTGAATCTTCAACAATGGCATTTTCTGTTGTACTACATATAGTTATTGCTACAGGTTACCTTTCAGAAGAAGGTTGGTTTGCAAGTTCATGTGGCTGGGGTTTTTTTTGAGCCTTTTGAGTGGAGATTCTCTTCTGTGAATAAGCTGGAGTTGTTGAGGCCATGTTTAAAGCAAAAGCAAAAAAAAAGTCATTTTCTATATATTTAACATTTATTTAGCATAAATTAAAAAAAAAAACAAGTTAACTATCACTGCTGAATAGAACTTGAATATGTTAAAAGGTTTTTTGTAAATAAGGACAGATTTAACCTTTTTGGGTTTGCTGTTGAATTTAGTTCTGTGACAAATGGTATGCAGATGATATTCCTTTTCATACAGTGAAAGACTGCAGGGGAAAGTGTACAATAATCAGACTCTCATAATCTTAATAATTACACGAGTACTACTTTGATTTATAGTTTTACAGTATTTCTATAGAGAAGTAACTAACTTATACTTTCTTCTACTATTGAAAATTTATATTTTTCTGCGTGCAATTTCTTCCTACAGTATAGAGGAGTCTGAGATAAGTGACTTCAAAAGCTAAATGTTCAACTTTTTTTTTTTTTTTAAATTAGGCTTGCCTTGCCTTTGCTGCATGTCACACAATTTGAGTGTAGAGCCGGAATTTTCTTTAGTACTTATTTACACTACATTAGGTAATAGCTAGCACTGAAAAAGTTGGCACAGTAATACCCAATTTTAGTATTATTCCATGTGGCACTGCAAAATGAGATATTCCTGTCATAAATGAAATATGGAAAAGACTCCTCTCATAAAGAACCAGAGAAGGTTAAAGCTCTTTGTATGGGGATTAAACTTAGCTAGCTGTGTAAAAGTTGGATTTGCTGATCTTGCTCTACAAGTTCTGTACACATTCACTGTTTAGCTACAGTGCTACTGATTGCTTATACTAAATTAAATTTGGCCTGATATATGTGCAGTGTGGCTTTCTGCCCCTTAAAATCTAGCCTGTGATGGGTAATTTTTTCAGTAACACTTTATACATACAGGATGACCCAGAACTTTTATTTCTACATAGGGCACAAGACTGAACAGAGTCTTTGTAATTCCTGAGTTTAAATTGATCTCTGCTTCCTTTAGGGCGTCTGCATCTAAGACCTGAAAACAAAGACATGTTGTTTAGGAAAAAAAACACTATAAACAAGAATATTTTTGTGTAGATTTTAATATTTTTGCAATCATTATACCTTTTTTCTCTCCACATAATCTTGTATTGAATGTTTTGTAATTTTCAGTCTCACAGTTCACAAGTGCCTCGCTTTGTGAATCATTATAAGAATCATAGGCTGAGATGTCTTCTGAATCGCTGCCTAAAATCCCAAAAATACATTAAAAAGGTCTGAAATATTAGAAATTTTGTCCTGTGTACCTAGGTAATTATTTGGCTTTCACCACCATCATTTCTGAGCCCTTCACTGCCATTAACACTACTGCAATTTGAAAGTACTTTTTCCTCCATTTTACAGGTGGGGATTGAACTTTAAAGATTGGCTTTCAGCCCTGACTGTAAGCCTCAAGTGTAGATTTTTTTTTTTTGGTCGTTGTTGTTTCCAGTCCCAGAACTGTTTTAAAAAAAAATTAAGCTCTCCATCTCCCTGTCTTTTAGGTTCTTGTTTTGAAGGTTAAAATTCCTACCAGTTGAAGTGTTAGGAAAACAATTGAGGAATGTGACAAGAATCTGGGAGGATCTAGTATGACACTGCTTTAGCTATTGCACAAACCAGTACTAACAATAATGGCCCCAGTGTATTATACTGAAGTGAAAGGGTATCACAGAGAAGCCAAGGACAAAAGGTAGACCAAAGGTAAGAATAACCTACTTATTCAAACCTACAACTAAACTTAGGACTATTCTCTTTTACTTGTTGGGTACTAACAGCATCAAAGTATTCTGCAGTGGAAAGATAAAATTGGATGCCCTAAGAGAAACAAATACCAACAGATTCCTAGTGAACCTCCAAGAGCTGGAGTCTTGAATGACTTGGCAGCTGACTTAACTAGCTCACAGTAGCCTGTGTGGGCTCTAGTTTGCATTTGGTGAAATTATATTATTAGGAGCTGGACTAAGGAAGGAGAGTATTTCTAGTCTCTGTCAACCCTGAATGGATCAAAGATTTAGGAAAACTTTTTCCTTTCATTTTAATTGCAGAATAACAAAGTTGAATCCAAAAACTAGAAGTGGAAGTACTGATATGAAAAGTTTCAGTCGCCAAGTTTGGAATCTCCTTCTAGGACATGAAATAAATGCACATGATAAGGAAAAAAAGCAAAAATCAAAGCATTGTGTGCACGCCACTGTTAGGCTTTTGAAAATGTTAGTAGCAGTAATATTTGGAAAACTATCTAAAAAGGTGAATTATAGAGTAATTCAGGTTGCATATGACTTCTGGAAATCATCCGGCCCAATTCCCTCTCAAAACAGGACCAACTTAGATGAAGTTGCTGAGGACCCTGTCCAGGTGGGTTTTGTATCTCCAAGGATGGAGATGCCATGGCCTCTCTAAGGAAAACCGTTTCAATGTTTGACTAGACCCAGAGTTAAAACTCTCTTTTTGCTCGTATCTAACTGGAAATTCTGTTGCAGCTTGCCTGTTGCCTCTTGGTCCGTCGCTGAGACTTCCAAAGCAAATTTGACTTGGTGTCCTCTTCAGTCTCCCTTTTATTCTTAGTGGCTTGTGCTGTGCTAACCAATAACATCTGTTAAAACTACAAACAATTTTCATGCTGCTGAGATGTGACAGGAATGTATTTCTTAACAGGATTCAATAGTAAGTATAAGCACAGTTCTGACTTTTTTGTATGCCATCACTACTTACTCAGGTTGGTATCTGATAAATCAGTTGGTTTTCTCTGAATGAAGAGTGAACATATTCCAGTTTTCCCTTCCTGGATGTTTGTATTTCTTTGAGCATGAAAATAGAATGGTATTTTAATTGTATCTTAATACCTTTATGATGAGCCTTATGAGCATATTATATTAATGTTTGACTACTTCTTAGCTGAGGAGAAATCAGATTTACTCATAGAAAGAACTCACCTGTATCAATTATCTGAAAAGGTGGTTAAGTAGAAGCTTAAATTAAAAATTGTGAAATGATGACCCCTTTAGTTAAAGCACACATTCTGACAAAAGGATCTTGACTTATCAGAGCTGTTAAAAATGCTTAAAAGTAGAGGTCTTGATAATCACATCTTCGAATAGCAAAGTAGTATGAAATCCTCTGTATTTATATATGTGTTCACATAAGTTGCATCAAAATATTATCAATGGTAAGGATGATATGGTTTCTTAGTAACTTGGAGCTATTAAGACTTTAATTTTACTGCCTTTAGATAATTAGAGGAATATTTAAGATGTACTTTCTGACAGAACAAGAATGAAGTTCCTTGTTTGCATTATTTGACATATTTTCAGCTAGGGCATACAGTATCATCAAATGTATTTGGAAAATTTTCCACCCATTCATGAAAATAATGATCAGAAGATTGAGCTAACTTTCTTTAAATGACAGAGGAAAAAAAATTGAAGCCAGGTGAGTTTTACTAGATAAATATTAATATCTACTTTGTAAAATAATCTGAGAGCATATTTAGATAAATATTACTGTGTTCCACACTGCATGTACTGTAAGATCTAGCTTTGGATAGAGATTTGCCAAAATTTCAAACTCCGAAATAACTCATGTAGAATTACTTTTATCACACTGGCATTTCTGTAAATGAAACTTTATAGATTGACCCTTACACTTGAAATATATGCAGATGTATCAATATGCTCTCCTTCCAGGCCTACCAGATTAGTTCATGACAATGATAATTCCAAATATTTTTCATGGCTGAACACTTTGCAACCATCCCAATTCGGGATGCTGACATGCATCGCTGAATAGAGAACAAAGACAAAGCCTCTTCTCTTAATACACTATTAAAATAACTCTGTGCCATTTAAGCACCATAAACCTTATACTGGTGCACCAAGATGGGCTACTTTGTAATATGAATACAATCCTCTCTTTAATGAAATTGATGGGAGTTTTGCAATTTTTCTGGTGGTCTGGTATATCACATACCTTATGTGATTAACTGGTGATAAACTTGAAAACAGATCATCCGCTCATCTATATATATTAAAGACATAGTGTTTCATGCAGAGTCCAGAATAGAGATGTATCAGTGTACATGCATGCATCTGTTCACTTAGCTGTAGAAAACCACGTCTATGACTAGCCAAAATATGTAATACACTTACCCTTTCATACTTTCTTCATCAGCATTAAATTTTTGACTTAATGTACCCTGACTATGGGATGGAAGACCTTCAGCAGCATATTTTTCCTTGGGTGAAAGGAATCTCTGTTGCACCCAGAAGGCAAAACAAATTTATATGTAATTGTTTATGTTACTGTGTATCTGTAACTGTATTACCTATCAAAGAGGACAGTGTAAACAGTGGCATCATTTGCATATCACTTCTATATTGCTTTTAGTTGCCATCAACTCTACAATTTGATTTATCTATTTACAATTCTAACTGTAGAGCACACTGGACAAAATACGAGCACTTTTTCATCTGTGAAGTTGGAATTCAAGACAGGTTTTCATGTTGCTTTGAAAAGGATTAGCATATATTAATTAATTTCTCTCAATGCCTTAAAATTGAATATTTTTGTAGGCAAGCAATTGCTTGTAGGTTTTTGCTTTCTGAACGAATAATAAAGGCAGGCTAGTAAACACAGCTAAGTCTTTCCTGAGAGAAGCAAACTTTATCACAAATTCCAAAAATGTTTGAGAGTCTTTCCTTAAATTTCTCCTTTGGGAACCAATTCAGCCATGTTATGATACGCTGTAGTATCTCAAAAGCTTGAGCCATCATGCAGTGCAAAAACTGAAGAGAAAAATGATGGGTGATCTCAAAGCTGAATAAGATAATCTAAGTTTAAAAAAATGTGAGTATGGAAACAGATCTCATACCATTACGTTGGAAGAATGCTTGTTTGCCAGCAGACCTCCTTGTCCCAGAGGCTCTGTTTCTCTTCTGCAAGTTGATTCAGCTCTCTTTTGTAGCCTTAATTGGTTAAGGGAAAACCATTTAGTTTATTTTTCTAATCTCATTGAGATGATTAACACCTATGAAATACTCCCCAGGAGGGCAGAGACAGTATCTAGAATTATTTCACAAAGTTTTGAAGGCTAATTATGTAAATATCTGCATCCCTCCCTTTTTTAATTAAAAATACCACACAGATATTGGCAAATAATTTTTTACTGGCACTGTACTTTGACTAGTCATTCATATCCTGAATTTGTGTGGTTGCAATGAATTTTATACAGAGGTATAATTTAACTCCTGGTGAAACTGATGGTAATGTTTTGGAGGTCCATAAGACCCGAAAAGGTAGAAATGCCAGGCTGGAAGGAATTCCTGGGTATGTAATTATAGAATTCTGTAAAATTTTATTCTGGAAATATTGCCGTGGCTGTCAAAGATTCCAGACATCCCAATTTTCTATATTCAGCAAATAATTTTAGGTAAATTTTTATAAAAGCTTCAATAGCTGTTTCAAAGTTTTCACTTACATGTGAAGACAAAGATTGCACTTGTTGCCTTCTAAAGAAAATTGATTTGTCTGTGGGATTACATCCGTTGTCTGACTTTTTTCTCCCTCATTGTTCTTGTGAAGAAATACAGTTTCAATACCTCTTCTTTCTGGAGGATCAGCAATGCTTGAAACTACTGAGCTCTGTAGAAGTAACCATAGCATAGATACACGTAGTATGTGCTCATTACATTGCAAGTACGTGACTTCTACCAGCCAGCATTTTCTGAGTGTCTCTAACGTGGGATTCAGAGAAAAATGTTTTCTAAAACATTGACTATGAAAGCATTTGGTGATACTTATCTGTAGATTTGTAGAAGGCCATAAGACTTTTTTTGTGCATTCATTTATGATGCAGGACAAAATATTACCATGCTTAGCAGTCAACTCAATTTTCTATAGCACAACAATGTTTGGTCTTCTAGTAATTCTGTAGTCTAAGAATCTTGGACAAACCAAGTAATACTTCTTTCAACTAAATGATAGTGATTAATTTCCAAAAACAAAGACAGCTTTGTAAAAGTTAAAGTAGCTGCTTATATTTTCTTACTCTGAAATAAATGCTTTTGAAGCTGGGATTAAGAATATTCAGTGTAGTTGTGCTTTTATACTTAGGTTTCTGTTATAAGTAATGAAATATTATGAAGTTAATATTTCATGAAAAAAATTTTCTTTGCAGTAACATGCTATCTAAAAGCATCATGCTCTTATTAGAGGAGAACATACAATAGTACAACCACACTGAGGTTCTTGAGACTTGCATCAGTAAAATAGAAGAATTGTAGTCTTTAAATAATAAAACTCACTGAGTTACCTCACAAAGAGAGTATGATGAATGGGCAGATTCACAGGAAGTAAGCAAAGAAGATGAGTTGCACTTGCTATCATCAGTTTGTTCTTGGATGTCTTCAAGCAGCATGCCAAGTCTAAATATTTCCCCTTCCACCTTTCTAAACCCAATTGCAATACATAGTTAGTGAAACCTGTATAAACTGATATTTTATTTCTTACTATGATAACCATATTGGGCATTGCAGTACACTTCCCATAGGAAAAAAATAAATTAATGGAGTTCAGAAAGTCTCTTTTAAGAACTTGAATTAATCAATTAGATATCCTAATTATAACTAGATAAATGTTTATATGTAAAGCCCAAGATGAATTTTGGCCAAATCACTTCTAGATTACCACATATAACGTTAAGATAATGTTTTCACTTCAGAAAAATTCTAATGGATAAATGAAGTAATGGTTGTAAGACACTCAAAATATGGAAAATATACTGATGTACTACTTAGCACTTATCTTCTAACCTTTCAGGATCAAACTTTCCGATGTTGATAGACTTGTCCTTGTAGTTCTGCAGCTCTAAATTACGGTGCTCTTCTCTAGCTGTTAAGTAATTCCTTTCCAAGGCCTTGAGGTGTCTTTTCAATTGATTTAATGCCTTCACCAATAAGAAATAATTCAATAGTGAATGTCATTATGATTTAGCAAGCCATAGTGATAGCTACTTATGCTATGTAAGCCAGATGCTGTTTGCAGTGATGTTGGTAACAATTTTGGTACTGCTCTGAAGTGGATCTTGTATGTTCACCTAGTACTGTGTGCTGCTCTATTATGAACTAGTAAAATATTAAACCATGACTTCTGAACTGATACCCTATGTGTCAAAATTCAAACTTATATGGCAACTTAAGGCCTTTCACTAATAGTTTTGAGTTGTAATCCTTAAAACAGTTTTAAGAATTCAGGCATGTACTGAACACCTTCATTTTTGCCTCTTAAACTCATAATTTCGGTCTGAGATTGAGAAAAAGGGTATTTTTAAATGTTTGTTTGAGGAAAACATGGAGTATCTTGCCAGAAAATTGTGAGTCTACAGCCATTTAGAGTGCATTTCAGGTAACTGAAAATACATAAATTAATTTACCAGATGGTTGTCTTGTAAAAGGAATGTCTCTTGGGTCATACGCTTAGTGAAGTCTTCCACCTTCAAGACAATGTATTAGACATTTATTTGGGATTTTAAAAACTAATATGCCAAATGAATATAGAATTTGAGCATCAGTGCAAAGAATATATTGAAACAGAGCTCTCTACTTTCTTTATCAGTTGATCTGTCTGATCCTTTAGTACTTGAGACATCTTTTCTCCTAGTGTTAGTTGTGGCAGTAAATCAGAAGGATTTAGACAGTGTGCTTCTACTGTACCAGCTGCTGGTAATGCTGATGCTGTTGTTCCACACTGTAATCCTACATAATACAAGATAAGATCAATCAATTGGAATTTCTACTCAAAAGTGCTATCAAATTACATAAAATAGTCATTTGCATAGTTACTGTGATTTTATTTACTTGCTTTAGACAAACCACATCTAGATTGTGTGGGGATAGAAGCATGTAATGTAAAGACTTCAGAGGATGTCCCAGTGTCTCCTGAGTAAATGGCAATGCTGGCATTTGGAAAATCTGACTGACGAAGTATCTGTTAAAATGAGAACTTTAGTTATAGAACACTTGTGGACATAAACAAAAAATTTAGAAATGGCTCCAAATACATAGGACAAGTTATTAAAATTAATGAAATATTTGTTATAACAATACCATATAATTTTCTGTGTTTACAGTTTGACATATGTATAATGTCTCATTGTATAAATACTTAAATACTTCAACTCTACATTGTGAAAATCTAAAAAGGATTTCTATAAATGGGAAGTACAATATCAAGGTGACAAAAATAGTTTTTGGGAATATTCATAGTCCTAGAGATAAAGGAGAATGAATTAAAAAACAACAACAAAACAAACAACCCCCCCACAAAAAAAAACCCAACAAAAAACCCCAACCTATTTTGAGAGATTTACCTTAGGATTCAGTCTCTCATCGTGAATACGATTCTGGGTGTCAGCGTGCTGTGCATGTGTTTGCAGCCAGGAAATAATAGGGAAAACTATTAAAACTTGTTACATTTTTAGTAAAATCAAACAATTTACTAAGATATAAATCTAGGAATGGACTTAAGCATCTGTATAGCTCTGTGAGTGAACTCCATGGCAGGGCATGAAATTGAGAAGTGATTATCTAATTACTAACAAACTTTAAAAGAAATTTACTACAATAAGAGAAATATTGTTGTCAAACAAATACTTTAAAAAGAATTGACTTGTCAATAAATACCTGTATAAATAGTTGGAGTGTTAAGATGTGAAAAAAGGCAACATAAACACAGGCACAGTATAAAAATACATTTTTAAGAAAAACTTTCAAGTACTTTTGGTGAATTTGAACATTCATGTATAATACTAGAAATAACAATTTATAGTGAATTTCTTAATGATTTGATAGGATGCTTTATAATTGCAAATAACACTCCTGAGCATCATTAAATATTTGGTAATGAACGTTCCATATAAATTTAGTCCCACAAAATTTTATTTGTGAAAGCAATTGTTGACTAAAGTGATATAGTTGCTGATACCTACAGACTGCCTGCATGAACTAGTCGTGTTAGATTTTACTGGACACAGAATATCTTCTTATGGTAAACCACTCTTTACCAAGTATTAAGAATTTCTTAGAGCACCTTAATTACCTCTGGCTGTTGCAACAGTTCTGGAATTCTCATTTCTTCTTGATTCTCTACTTCAGCAGAATTGAAATAGTTCTTATTTTCTAGAATGTTATTCACAATTACTGATTTACTTAGCAAAACAGGGAAGGATTTTGCTCTTTCAGTTGTAGGAACTGAGTTAATATTGTCACTTCTTTTTGGTACTTTAACTTCTGAAGCAACTTCGGAGGAGTCAGGAAGGCAATAGTGAGCTTGACCTTGGCCATATTTGAGCTCTAGAGGTGAAACTGTTTTCTTCAAAAGGGTGCTCTCTTCTTTCATGTTTTCAAAGATGTGTGTGTCTTCGTTCTCATTAATCAATTGTGAATTTTCTTGTCTGCACCCACACTTATCAGTAAAAGAAAGTGGTTTCTTTGAAACACATCTATTTTCATTTAGCACATTTTGATTTTTATCACCAGTGTTTATTTCCTTGTGCTTTTCTAAGTGATATTCTTCAAAGTTAGTTGCCCGCTGTTCATGTGCTAAAGGGCCTTTGTCATGTTCTGAACGCTTGGGTTTGTTCACGGTGTCATCGATACTTTCAGTAAAGGATGTCTCTGGTATTGTCTCACATTCAATTAACTGGCATGTGCTTGTTAACTCTCCCTGAGAGAAATGACGCAAAAGGACATTGGACATTTTTGAGTGAGTTAGATGTTCTTTGCTATCTGATTTACTAAAACTACTAACAGGTAATTCTTTCTTAAAGGAAGCTTCACTTCCAGGCGTTTCAGCTGAAATTCCTGTTGTTCCTATGGCGTCTCTGTGGTGACTGGAGAATTCTTCAGGCTGTGAATGAGTTTCATAATTTGCTGTTGCTTTTATGTTTTTGTTAACTTCAGAACAGGCTAAGTTTAAAATACCAGAAGTATCTTTTGTACAAGTACAGTCATTCAAATTATCTGAATTATTATTGTATTTACAGGTTATTCCTACATCTCCATCATAAGGTAAGTCATTTTGTTCCTCATCAGTTGCATCTGTGATACAGCCTAATTCATCTGAAAATGAACTATTCATTTTGGGTTTTCATCCAGTCTGATGGCTTGCACTTTTTCGTAGTCTCTATGTCCAGTTTATGTAGAATATGAATGCCATTGCTTCTCCGATTATGGATAGAGCTTTTATTATTGCATGGATCAAAATCTGTAATGTATGAGTAATAATTATTATATACTTAAATGCATTTGAGAGTAAGATCTACTGTTTTTCAGAACCATTGCCCTGACACGGATGTTTCCTTTTCATACTTACACTAGTGTAAGTCTGGATTAACTATTGGGGGAAACAGAAAGACACAAATGACAAAAGCAGAGCCAGGTAACTGTCCTTGCTCGTTAATCCTCTGTAGTATTTTAGACAAAAAAAAACTTGGCTACAGAATCACAATGGTACTAGAATTCAACCTCAGTTTGAAGAAAACAAAAGTAATAAAATACAACTTCTCACACTTTACCTCACCGCTATACAGCGTTTGTTCAGCCTCTGCACCAGAGAAAAACCACCGAAGTTTTTTCAATTAGTTTCTCTCTTTTCGCCAGGTAAAAAGCAATGAATTAATACGGTATTGAAGTAACGTACAGGCTTGTCCCATTCACGCAGTATGTTGTTTCACCTCAGCTGCCGTCACTTCAGGCAGAAAGCAGCAGGCTCACAGCACCGCTTTCCTCTACGCGGAGTACAGCTGCGCCGCTGTCTTTTGTCCTTCTCTGCGGCAAGTGACGTTACGCTGCCGCGGCCCGGCCCCTGCTGCTTTTATTCCTTTTCCAAGAAGCTGTACTTCGCTGCGGCGGGGTTACGCGCCTGCTGGAACAGGAGCAGCCCTGGGGGCGGTGTGACGGGGCCCGCCAGGTGTGCGGCAGGCGCGGTGCTGCCGCCCTGTCCGCTTACTCGCCGGTAACACGAGCGCGGCGGCCGGGGG